TTTTATTGTCCTCATTTGTAAGTCGCTTTGGATAAAAGCGTCTGCTAAATGACTAAATGTAAATGTATAAATATTGTTAAACATCGCAGCATATGTTCCGCTAATAACAATATAAGAATTTATTAGAAGGTACTATGATAGTTTAACAGCCCAAAGTGGAAATATAAGGGGAAATGATAGTGAGAGCCTGTTTTTTTTTATAGTGTATATATATATATATATATATGTGTGCGTTTTATATGTATTTGTGTGCGTGATTTTTTTTAAATCTTTTTTTTCCCTAAACTTTTTTTTTAATCTGTAGCCTAACATCAAAAACAAATCTTATGAAAAAAATATACTACTGAAACCGAGTCCTGTTATGTAATACTGTTTTTTTCCTTGATAATGACCATTTGAGCATGCATGCATTAATGTGGAAATGCTTCAGTTATGTAATTCCTTTATTTTCCAATTTTCTTTGTGACAAAGTACAAATAACAGGTGTCAAATTTGTTAAGAAGTCACCCAAATTTTAGTGTCCATAATTTTAATAGTTTCCTTTACAGTTGATGTCCGCAATATCCTTGTCAGACAATATACATATTTAGAGTAAATAAAAAAAATCTAAAGTAAATCACTTCTTTAATGCTGCACAATCTGTAGATAATAATGAAAAATATATTTAAATCTGTTCTGCAGTTTGCAATCCTAAACCGCAGTCTCGAGTTTTAAATAAAGTCTATCTAATTCTCTTGCTCCCCATACTACTTTGAGGCACTTATACACTGAAGAGGCGTTCTTTGTCATTTAAGTCTGTAACAGATTGAACTAGAAAATAGTGTTATGTAAAAATGAACGAACCTTCTCTGGTTCCAACTCGGAACCTTTCTGTCTAGCAGCAATGGAGAAATGCTCTGAGTCAAACATGATCTATGGCCATTCTAAAGATCACAAGCATAGAAAGGTTGTCGGAACCTATCGCAAAAGGCAATATTCACCACAGTTTACAGCTTTCACTCATAATAATGATGACATCTTGATAAAAAATGGAACAGCTTCACCACTTTTACAGCAGATATTACAATGCCAGTGGCTTAAATGTGAAGTGCATGGTGAATCAAATCAGATCTGTATTGGCTATTGAGCATTTAAACAAAATTACAACACAAAACATTTATACTTCCAATGGAATATAGATATATATTCTGTATCAATAAAGCATATGACAGTATGGAATGGCACTGTTACTATGGCAACAAGGTCCCTATGAAAGTTTGGGATTAATAAAGAAGTAATTCCCAAGAGACCCCCTCAGCTACCAGCATACATTCTCCAATCACTATGTACACACACAAGCACTCTTCACAAAGTGGACAATCAGATTCTCTATGTATTCTGCAGGTAGTCACTGCCCAATAAAGCAATAAAGTGAAAATAACACTTGTTATCTCCCATCAATATCAGTCATCACTTGTATTGCTGATCAGGGTCCAGCTTCATTCCACCAATGATGAAGGCAACACCATTGGGCCGAATCTTAAGGCAGCAAAACATTCTTTATAAACCCATTGCCACCTATGTATCTTACCTCATCACTTTACAGTAGTTCATCTAAGGCCATATCCAAAATATTAATAACATACAGATTGACACACAAGTCCTCTTGTCCAATGATTGTATAACATCCGTCCACATCTTTAAATGCAATGCTGACACTCTATCTGCAAGAGTGTGATTACGCTGATTTGTGCCATTAAAACTGTTTGATAGTTTTTAATAGTGTGCATTTATAGTTTGTAATTGGCATGATCATGAAGGTGAGGATACTGAAACACAAGTACATTATTTTCAACAAGTATCGGTCAGTTGATTGTGTCAGAAAGCCGTACTGGCCATGCTGCCAGGCGCAAAAAGCCGGGACATTCCATCTTGTGAGGACTCAAGGTGTCGATGGGCCATCTTCCCCTCCTCACCTGCAATTAAAACAAATGAAACACAAATAAGAGACATTGTCCTTCTCTCTAAAATGCCAATACCTTTCAGTCAATTAATTTGTATGCATTTAATTAAGAATAAATTAATAAAATCACAATTAACTATTTTTTTTATAGTATTTTCTTTAGCATTTTGTTTTTGAATTATTTTATACAGACTGCAAAACTTTTTTGGCAGATTAAATAGTTTTTCAGCTGAGAATAAGTATAGAATTGTACATTCAATATAGAAATTTTGCAAACTTTTAAGATTTGATCAAATTCCCTGAATCTTTCAGTATGTAAATTCATTTTTAAATTCTCTGATCTTTGCAATTTTTCCATGGCTCACTGTTGGAACACATTTGGAACACATTATTTGCAGCAAATCCATTCTTTCACTTTCATTACTGATCTTTCCTTCGTGTGTCCATTTCCTCTGGTTTAGTCCACTGCTTACCTAGCACAAGCAGAGCTTGTTTGGCAGCATCCCTCACATCCTCCTTATCTGTCCGGCACAGATACACCAGCTGCTCGATGCTCTCTTTGGCCTGTGATGCACAAACACAGACAGCAGGGCACTTTACTTAAAGTCCTCCACAAACACTGATGTGTGATGCTGCATATAACCTGATTCCCACTCAGATTACTAGAGCACATCTAACCACCAATCTCTTGATGTTATGCAAGCATATATATATATATATATATATACACACACACACACAGTGTGGGAAAAAATAAACGTTGATTGAGTGGTGCTGGGTTTTTGAGGAGAGATGTTTATACATGCATGAACTGACCTTCAGGCATGCGAGTGATTTACATCCACACACCCGCGTCTCAACACTTTCATCCTCCAGCAACTCTAGACAGCTCACCAATGCCTGAGACAGAACAGTAATGAGAGACACTGAGTGGATCAAATCAAAATCCTTTCTGAATAGCAAAGCATTACAACTTTACTTTGCACTTAATAGTCACGATTAAGGATGCACCATTATTAACCCTTGTGCTGTGCATAAAAATTCCTTTATCTAATTTGGTGTTCTTGGTGAAAAATGGCCGGCCTTTGAATAATTGATTGTAAATGTCTAACTATGCTAAACTATCAACAAATTTTGGATTCAATTGTTTGTCAACTTGTTTTCTTTCAGTTAGCACAGGTTTTTTTATTTCTTTTTGGAACTGACTGGTAGTATACTCTTAAAAATAAAGGTGCTTCAAAAGGTTCTTCAAGCGATGCCATAGAAGAACCATTTTTGGTTCCACAAAGAACCATTCAGTCAAAGGTTCTTTAAAGAACCATCTCTTTCTTACCTTTTTATAATCTGAAGAACCTTCTTTCGCCCCAAAGAACCTTTTGTGAAACAGAAAGGTTCTTCAGATGTTAAAGGTTCTTTATGGAACCATTTAGACAAAAAGGTTCTTCTATGGCATCGTGAAGCACCTTTATTTTTAAGAGTGTAGGCCTCATTGAACAGCTGACGCACCTCAGTTTTTGAGTGAAAAAAGCATTGCATATGAATCAAATATTTGGAAATAATACAGCATAATGAGATATTTATAAGAAATGTTTTGTAGGCAAGTCATTTTTGATGAAAGATGGTGTGTAGAAGTGTAGAAAATCCCCCAAAAAACAAAATTATCAATTTTTAAATGATCAATTATCAGTTTTTTTCTAAGCTTTAGTCCAATGCGATAAAAAAAAAGAAAAAAAAAAGAAAATCCTCTCGGGGTCAAAATTAGGGATGTGTCCGAATAGTGAATCTGAATTCGGAAAGGCACAGAAAACGAATAATGTGTTCTACGGAAGCCCTAAAGGGAATAAATATGAGATGGGAGGAAAAAATATATTTCAATGCTTTCTCTCGCAAGTATTTCGTTGGGTAATTATACTGTATATAAACTGCGGGCATCAGGAAGCCGCTATTAACATGCGGGGCATTGAAATCGCTTTTGAATGCGCACTCGCTTTTTACTTTCACTTTCGAGATTCGCGATCACACGTACTCTGTGTATACTACGAAGCGCCAGTACTTACCACACATTTCACAAGATTAGATTTTTGTCAGTGGTGCTCAGGATCTGCAAATCATTCGCCATTGTCCTATCTGTCATCTCTCCTTACTCTGTTTATGTGGTAATTGAAATTTTATGTACTGTAATGTAACAGGCTACCGCTAGCAAGCGGCTAACCATGTCCCTTTAATGGCTTCGTAAAACACATTATTCATTTTCTGTGCCTTTCCGAATTCGGATTTACTATTCGGGCACATCCCTAGTCAAAATGACCGAAACACAACATGAAGGTTGACATTCTGGCCGATACCAAAGCGGATCATTATTTTCATGTTATGACAGATAACTGATAAATAGTCAATATTAAAATTCTATAATGTTTTGCCTAAATACATTAAAAATAAAATGTGAAACTAAAAACTAAAATCAATTGTTTTGCTACAAGTGAATTTAGGTAACAACATTATAAAGTACAGTATGAAAAACGCATTTTCTTTCTGAAATTTACTAAAGATTACATTTAACAGTGTTGTGATATTAGTTTATTATTTTTAAAGATTAACTTCAAGTGAGCGTTAGTTATTGTAGTATCACTGATATACTATTATAGTTCTTGTTAACATTTTGAATTATTGAATTGTTTTTATTTTAATTTGAAAGTTTAAGTAATTTTGTTGTGTATTTTATAATAATTGTATTTTATTTTAAATATATATATAGTTTTTTGTTTATTTTTTTTGTAGTTATTTAGTACTTCAACAAACTAAGAAATAAGAACTGTTACCTTGCCTTGTAAGCGTTTTATATTTTATTTTATTTAAGTTAATGTTTATTTTATTTTAATAGGGGAAATTTAGCATTTAAAGTGGAAAACTTTGGAATCATTTTACAGATTTTTAATGTTTATCATGATCTTAAACACCATGTGATCTCATAGCTTATACTTAAAAGCTTATACTTAAAGTTGCGACATTACTTTTGTAGAAAAGTATTTTGCTTTTATTTGTGTCTATACTTTAATATTATATTTTTTAAATGTGGGAAATAATAATAATAAATAAGTAGGTGTGGAACTTTTGAATAGTGGTGAATAAATAATAGTCATGGATGTGGAAGTTCACAATGTTCATTTGACCTTCACTGCAAATCCGCTGAAATAGTCACCTCCAAAAGTACAAACAGGAGTTTGTAGAGTCTGCAGGAGGATCGTGAGCACATATCTTACCCTCTCTCTGTGGCGGGTTTGGTCAGCTAGACTCCGCAGCAGGGAGCTGGCTGCACTGCACACTTTCCCCCTCGGATCCCTCAGCAGCAGACTGACAGCCCGCAAGCCCTCCCTCTTCAGACTGCACTCTGGAGGCTTCTTCAAAGATTTTACCAGAACATCCTGATCTCCAGACTGCAGGCACTGAACTAGCCACACTGCAGGAGAAGGAGAACGAAAGAGAGACATGGATGAAACAGATACACTGCTGAGAGAACATTAGGTGGGGGAGGACTGGAAAGATGCACCAAGAAACCACAATGACTGAGAAGTGGAATGGGGTGATAATAGGGGCGTTTGGGATGGGAGGGGTTGATACCACAGATGTGTAACACAATCACTCTTGCTAATGAATGTTTGAGCATAGACAAGAATAGTCCATTAACTCTTAAGTGGCATTCAAACTAACAACAATCTGCAACGACCAGACATTTTCAATGAGAGTTCTCAATTTCCATTGATGTGATAAACTTCCGTGTAAACTGGATTTTGCATTCACATTACATTTCTGATGACAGTCTCTCTCAAGCATCAAGAACAAACTCAAATGAAAAATGAAAGTGGCTTTATTGTTGGTATTGTTGGTGTTTTTGCTGCTGAATACAGTGACACTAATGGTGAGCTATACTTGTTTTTTTAAGGACCTGCTTAAAAATATATTGTTCAATTTATGCTTAAAGTGATAATACAAATAATTATACTGTTCTTCAGTATTTTTAAAATATGTTTCTTATGCTCACCAAGTACGGATATTAAAAATACAGTGAAAACAGTAAATATTATTACAATTTAAAACAACTGTATTCTATTTTAATATATTTACAACAGCCATTACTCTAGACTTAAGTGTCACATGGTTTTTCAGAAATCAGTCTAATATGCTGATTTGGTGCTCTGGAAACATTTTGTCGTCTTCTTATTTTTATTCCAGGAATCTTTAATGAATAGAAAGTTAAAAATAGCATCTATTTGAGACATTACTATCACCTTTTGATCAATTTAGTTTGTCATTTATTGGAAAACAAGACAAAAATATAATTTTATGAAATAAATGCATGACTTCCGGTCTGTTTGTCGCTGCTAACTGCTGTCCATGTGAACAGCCCATTATATGGCACTCAAATATACCTTCTTCAGCCAGCTCAGGAATGTGTGTGTCCAAGTCATTCACCCCCTCTGCTTCCAGGTAGCTCCAAAACTGGAAGAGGGTGAGAGTCTCTTTGGACGCACCTCCTGCACGCCTGGGCAGCTTTCTCTTCAGGATCCGCTCCAGCAGACGCAGAAACACTAACACACACACACACACACACACACAAGTTCAGTGTCACAGAGTGTCAAAGAAAATCTGATTTAGTGTATTGAAATGTACACACATGGGGTCATCAGAAACGATTAGCAGGATATTAAATCCTTCCTGGAGATGAAATACAGGACGTTATGGTTAAGGTTGTAATTTATGTTGATTGTACAGCAATTTCAATTTAGAAACCAATCTCCCCATAACTCATTTACAGTGCTTGTTCATGCATTAATATACAACACACACACATACCTGTGTCTGTGAAACCAGCTCCTCTCTCAGGGAGTCTGCTGGCGTAAGTGTCGCTGAGTGCCTGTAAGAAGGCCTCTGTGGAGGTGCTGTAGACACTGCAGCCATCCGTGCACTGCCGCCATAGCAACACAGCCCCTTGGCACTGATCTAACTGAGGAACAACTGCTCCGACATACAAAGAGAATGTGGGAAATAGAGGTGGTTGTGAGGAAAAACTTGTGACAAAATATGTGAAATAGCATTCTGTTGTATAATAAACGATCTGTGATGCATGAAAAACAATGTATGAACATTTGCAAAGAAATGAGCTCACAGGTAAGATACAACTTAAACACCACAGAGATGGTATGTTGTATAGTCTGATGTATAGTCAACAGAACTAAAGCATTATAACAGTTAAAACACTATAATCAGTGAGACTCACCCTCCTCTGGCTGGATGACTTCGCCCCTCGAGTCCTTCACAACCCATCGTATGAGCTCAAGGACTCTTGCTTCCCTGAGAAGTCGGTCCAGAGCGTACATCTCCCCACAGCGCAGGGGCCCGAATGTGCCTAACCTCTGTTTACAAAAACAAAACAGAGTATGAACAGAGATGCTCAGACACTATGAAAACACTTAAAACTTAAATTCATCTATGAAATGTCCAACCTATATATATATATATATATATATATATATATATATATATATATATTAGACATCGATGGTTAGATTAACATTTTTTTATTAAATTTTAAAGTTTATGCTCACCAAGGCTGCATTAATTTTATCAGCAAAAACATTAATGTTGTGAAAAAATGTTAGAATTTAAAATAACCATTTTCTATTTTAATATATATGCTAATTAATAAAATAAATCCTATTTAAACACATATATCAAAATAGATATATATTGATAAACACTAAAATTTTACTTTTAGACTACTTTTTTGGACATACTTTATAATTATAGACATTATTATTATTATTTATTCAAGAGTTTGTGAAGTTTTATTTGTTTTAACATTATTTTTGTATAATACTTCTGTTGGTTATAATGTATTTATACGTATGTTCAATGCCTTCGAAAAATGAACTGAATTCTACACACATTCTCATTATTTCATGTTGTTCCCCCTATATATGGGACTAAGGCCCAATCCCATTTCTACCTCTTAGCCCTTCCCCTTTCCCCTAACCCTCCGTTTCGCACATTCACGTGAAGGGGTAGGGGTGTCTCGATTCTCTTTTGGTTGGAGGGGTAGGGGTAGGGGTAAGGGGAAGAGCCAGGTAGACCTTCAAACAAAGATTTTTCTGGACCACACTTCAAACGAAGGGGTATGAATTATCTCAGCATAAACCGGCTACAGCGGCGGCTGCCCAAGTGAACAAAAAGACACATAAATGTAAGCATTTTTGGCATTAATAAAGATTTTAATGAAAAGTAATCATTTGTTTTATGTTACATTCAATTGTGAGTTCATATTTACGGTCATGTTATTCAAAGAAATGTTTGCAAAAAATCACTAAATTTGCTAACATCATATCATTACAGACTGCACCATAGTGCCACAAGTTCCACAACATATTTTCATGTCTGATCAGGGCGATAACCACTGTAGACATTGAGGGGGGCTAGGCCCCCCCCAATAATTAGAAATAGCTAAACCCTTTTCTCAAATATTGCTAAATAGAGAGAGAGAGAGAGAGAGAGAGAGAGAGGGCGATTAAAGTTGCATTTACGTGCGTCTCTCTTTGAGTGAGTTTACTTCAAAAACAGCGATTATATCCTCTCATTGCTGGAGAATATAATGTAGCGATTCAGTATTTAAACTGTTATTAATAAAAGTCATGGGGTAGCGTTAACAAGTTTCTTTGCTCCTGGATGTGTGAGCTGTGCGATCTCTGATATGTATGTGTGTGTGTGTGTGTGTGTGTGTGTAGAGGTCAACCAATTCATCGGTTTTGCCGATTAATCGGCACCTATAGTTGATTGGCAGAACTATCGGTTATCGGCAAAAATCAATGCCGATAGTTTTCCGGGTTGCGTCCTTAATCATTAATCATTCAATTCATTAATAAACATGAATTTATGGATTTAACTGCACTCATGCCACCTCTGATCCTCATTAAATGTCTGAAAATACACCTACAAGCCACTTTTGTGTTCTTCTGTGCTACCTCTGTACAAATTAATTTTAATACTGATTTCATTCGATTAGTAACTTATTCTTCTTATTCTACTTGTTCTTATTATATGGTTTTATCTAGAATTTTTAAAAAGCTTATAAAATATATATTTTTTAAAAATTTGACATAAAAGATGACATACTTTTAATAAAGATAGAAAAATGCCAACAAAATAGAATAGTAGAAACAAAATTCTACTGTAAATCACTTTAAGGAGTCAAATATCACCTCGTAATGGGAAGGCTATTTTTTTATCAAATTTTGGTGCTCCTAAATTTTTGACTGTGCTCCTAAATTTAATAACTTTAATGATCAATATAATAATTAATATTAATATGTTTATTCATTTACAAAGTATGGTTCAGTACTGCTACTGCTTTTTTAAAAATAGTAAAGCTCTGTTTTAGTTTTCATTTACCATTTTAAAAACTATCGGTTGATTAATTGGTATCGGCCAGTGTGGTCCAACCTAGCTATCGGTATCGGTAAAATCCACTATCGGTCGACCTCTATGTGTGTGTGTGTGTCAGTAAGCAGCACTTTAATATAGAACGGTAAGGCTCTAATGCACACCAGCACACCAGTATATTGTAGGAGCTAGATGACGTATGATGACGTGTAACGGTGTAGTAGTGGTGTCCCAATTCTTAGGGGAATATTTTCACCCCTACCCCTTGACACTCTGTTTTAAGGGACAAGGGGAAGGGGTAGGCAGAGGGGTAGGGGAAGGGGTATAAAACAGAATTGGGATTGGGCCTAAATGTCCATATCTAGTACTATTAGACTACAATAACTGACCAGCAGCTGCGAGCTGCAGTTCTTCAGATGAACCAGCAGGGTGTGATCTAGAGTCGGGCAGCCTGTGCTGAGCGGGCCGGAGGGAGTATCCCAACACCTGGCTTCACAGCCCTCATCCTCTCCTGCACTTTCCACAGCCGCTGGATGCTCCTCTGTGCTGTATCCGTCACAACACACATGAAAACAAACACACGTCAGAAAATGGCAACACAATATATTCAGAAAAAAGTAAAGAGTTGGGATTGAACATAGATAAAGTTGTGAAATCAGTCACTCAAACTAACGGTTGTCCTTCAAGTCACTAGGTGGCAGTAGTGTAACATAACATTATAGAAGCAATGCATTTTGATGAAAAAACCTTGGTTGAACCTGATTCCTTTTTGTGCTATAAAATATCATTTGACCGCAGAAAGGTGAAACATTTCTCAAGTTCTGACCTGTCTGTCACACTCTGCCTCTCACCATCCACCTCCTCCTCCTCCTCCTCCTCTTCCTCCAGGTCTGATGTATTAAGGAAGTCAAAGCTCCCTAGAGCCATCTCAACTGTCAAACTGACACTGGATGAGCGACTACGACTCTGTACCTGCAGATACACACATTTGCAAAAAGAAAACTCTATCAATCTCTTTAGTCTAAATAATTACAAATGAAAAACTCTTGATTTTAAAGTATATAATGTATCAGTCATTAAAAACTACATTTAAATTGTTAGCTAGAAGAAACCCCAGAATTTAATGTTCAACTAATATTAGTTGTTTACATGATATTAATGACTTGTAAAAACAAGCAAAAATAGTGATGGAATCCAATGGAAGTATATTGGGGCAAGACTTCACACCAGAATAAGTGTCAAAATGCACAAAAGTACAGCCACAAGATTGTAAACATGAGGCTTGTGTGATAGAATAGATAACTAACCTTGTCTGTGCAAGTTACCTCTAATCGTTCATCAAATATGCACATTTCTAATATTAAACTCTCGTGAATACATTAAACAAAATACTTCTAAGGAAAATGCAATACTGCAAAAGCAGTGTTTGTTTGTTTTTACAAATAGAGGAACAATTATATCTGTTAATTCACAACATGACACAGACACTGTCAGTAGACAGTTGACTTATAAAACCTGGAACATTAATAAGGCCAATTCTGGAAAAAGAGACATTGTGTTTATTCTATGACTAAGCTAAGTTTTGCCGGGAAAACCTCTCTGTAGACACAGGATGAAGTGGTTAATAGTGAAAGCAAAGGGCACGTCTTTGATGAACTCTACTGTTCCACTGGTGAAGACCAAAGTCTCTGGACCCAGACTCGGATCTGAGACATTGATGGTTATCGTGGGGCTTGGATACAAGCAATACCCAAAGGCTTCTGTGACCAAAACATTGAGAATATAAATCAGCCAGGAAGAGTTACACCCTAAGTCTGTGAGCCCTCACTGCAGGCTGGAAAGGACAGTTTAATGCAGCGTTTTCTTCACTTTCAACCTCTCTGACCTTCTACAACTCATAAAAAGGTTTCGAATTTTGATCAAAGATGGTGATCTAGACATCTAACCTGATGTGAAGGCAATGGTGCATACTGATTCTCAAAGACACAACAAATGGGTCAAATTAAATACAAAAAAATCATGTGGTGTAAAAAGTAATAATATTTTCCACAAAAATTCAATACATCTTGAGTCTACACATCATGATTACTAATTTCAAAATGAAGATTTATGGTTTATAAACATTCATATATATATATATATATATATAATACAGTGGGGAAAATATTTATTTAATCCCCTGCTGATTTTGTAAGTTCACTTACAAAGAAATTAAGGGTCTGTAATTTTTATGGTAGGTTTAATTTAACAGATAGAGACAGAATATCGACCAAAACAATCCAGAAAAAAAACATTATATAAAGGTTAGAAATTGATTTGCATTTCAGTAAGTGAAATAAGTATTTGATCCCCAAGCAACAAGCAAGAATTCTGGCTCCCACAGACTGGTTATGTGCCCATGTGGAACACAGATTAGTCCTGCCACTTTAAGAAGTTACTCATATTGTCAGCTCGTTAGGTGTATAAGACACCTGTCCACACAATCTGTATCTTCCATTACAAATTATAATATATATATATATATTATAATAATAATATATAATAATAATATATAAATAATATGTTTTTGAGGATGTTTTCTTCTGCATGTTGGTTGCATCGCATGACATAGACATTTTTTCCTTTCAAATATTATGTTGCCGTTTCAAATATTAAGTAGTTTTGGTAAGTAATAATAAACAACTATGATTAACTACAATACGGATTTCTTTTCAAGAAATTCAGAAGGTTTTTCTTCCAGGATTTTTTATCACCCTGACATTTTCGACTAGATGTTACTCAAAAAAAAATTATAAAAGGACATTTTAATAAAGAAATTCAAAACACACTCTTCAAAGAAGAACCGTTTTGAAATAGCTTGAATTGCTTTTTTTTATATATATTTGTGAATAAAATAACAGATCCGGACCAAAAAAAAAGGCATTTTACTGACACTAAACCACAACAATAAGGTTCAGCACTCACTGTTAGCACCTCCTCCAACAGCTTCAGCTCTTGCTCTAGGACCTGTAGTTCTGGGAACTGGCCTCTGTAGTCATCAAGGGAGGACAAAACGGCACCAAGGGCCTCCTCCAAACCACTGTCTGCTGATTGTCCCTCCAAATCATCCATGGGTCTGGTGTCTACTACAGAACCAGACTTCTCTGCCAGCAGGTCGTCCGTTTGTGTCTTTGTGAGGTGTGGCTCATGAGAGGAATCAGTCCTAGGAGCTTCGGAGTCCATCTGCTGGGACAAAGCATTAGCACTGGGGAAAGAGTCTTTGTCTCCACAGGTGGGCCTAGACGTGAGCTCTGTAGCTTTTTCAGAGTCACAAGTTGTGGTTTCTGCAGGAGAGCTACTTTCTGAACAGTTGAGTGGCTCAGCGGGACAGGATGACTCACTCGTGGAGGGATCAGGAATGGGGCAGATCTCCTGAGTGTCTGGTACTACAAAACATAGTTCTGCTCGGTGGGGCATATCCATGGCAATGTCACTTACAAATACCGAAGAGACCGCTGAAGTCACTTCATTGGCCACCAAAGATTCCCCAGTCAGTCTATCTGTCAAAACACCATCTGTGCTGTTCTCGCTGATGTGGCTAAGGGAGCGAGAATAGCGGGGATGGCCATTGGGCACTTCCTGTTTCACGGGAGCCTCAGTGGTGACCGTTATGGTGGCCGTTGGTTTCTTCAGATCCTCCTCCTCTTCTTCCTCCTCCTCGTCCTCTTCTTTCTTTTTGGCCAGGTGGGTGGGAGTAGAGGTGGCAGATTCACGGGGTGCAAATGATATTTCAATGGCAGGAGGAGCAGTTTGTACCTCAGGCTGTACTAAGTTTTTGTGTGCATGGCGCATTCCCAAGGAAAGCTGAGGACTGGAGGAATCGTCAGAGGATTCGGAGGAGTTTGACCATGCCGTTCCGTTCTCCATCTCCTCTTGTCTCCTCAACATATTCTAGAGCAGAAGAAAGAGATTATGAGGACATAAATGATTATACATTATAAATAATTTACGTAAAGACCCTTTCACATGACTCAAGGTAATGTTCCTCAAAGCATCAAACCCTTTGGAGCAAAGTTGTTACAGCGTTCAAATTTCAAATAATTTCACCTTTCAGCTATCTAAATACTCTGAGTTCAATGGACAAAGCTGATGACATTCACTACCATTCAAAAGTTTGGGGTGGGTGATATTTTTAAAGGTTCTTGACAGAAGTCTCTTATGCCTACTAAGGCTGCATTTATGTATGTAAAACATAATGTATGCTAAATGTAATGTATTCCTGTGATGACAAAGCCGAACTTTCAGCAGCACAAAAATTTACATTACCATTCAAAAGTTTGCAATCAGTGAGATTTTGTAAAAAAAATAAAAAAAATAAAAAAAATATGGATATATATCTTGTAATCACCAAGGCTACATTTATTTGATCAAAAATACAGTAAAAACAGTAATATTAAGAAATATTACAATTAAAATGCTCTTTTCTATTTTAATGTATTTGAAAATGTAGTTGATTCCTGTGATAGCAAAGAATTTTCAGCAGCCATTACTCCAGTCTTCAGAAATCATTCTAATATGTTGATTTGATGCTCAAGAAACAATTTCTCATTACGATCAATGTTAAAAACAGTTGTGCTGCATAATATTTTTGTGAAAAATGTCATACTTTTTTTCAGGATTTTTTGATAAAGTTTGAATGCCCGCCCAGGATTTATTTTGAAATAGAAATATTGCACATTATAAATGTCTTTACTATCACAGCTAATTAAATATATATATATATTTAAAACTAATGTATAGCAAAAAATCCTGAAAAAAAAAAGTATGACATTTTTCACAAAAATACTATGTAGCGCAACTGTTTTTAACATTGATCGATAGATTAATTAAATATATATATATATATATATATACACACACACACACACACACACACACACACACACATTGTTTATATACATATACAATACATTGTTTTTCTTTTGATGAATGGCTTGACGACTAGAGTGAACTAGCTTGCCTTACAGAGACTTTGTAAAAATATCCTTCATGATGCTAGTGTTGAAGCCCTGATGGAGTCATGTGAAAGGCCATAATTTCATACTCTACTATAAAGTTCACAGTGAGAGATATATGCTAAAATAATATCTGAGGACTGTGAGCAGACAACAGGCTTTTTTTTGGAGGGAGAGGAGAGGAGAGAACAGTAGGATGATAGGAGTGTGTTCACTGTCACTCAGCATTAGTGTGTATCTTTGGACACGGAGCTTCATTATAGTGGAGAGCAGACTGGCGTCAGGCCCAGTGAACTAACACACTCCCTGCTCCCTCTAATTAACTTCCCTCACTGGGCTAATGTGAACACCCTTCAAAACAATAACAGCATCAATGAATGCATTATTGATGGCTGTAGATACTACTATTGTCACTCACAGTTGGACAGACAACGAATAACATCACACACATTGTTTATATACATATACAATACATTGTTTTTCTTTTGATGAATGGCTTGACGACTAGAGTGAACTAGCTTGCCTTACAGAGACTTTGTAAAAATATCCTTCATGATGCTAGTGTTGAAGCCCTGATGGAGTCATGTGAAAGGCCATAATTTCATACTCTACTATAAAGTTCACAGTGAGAGATATATGCTAAAATAATATCTGAGGACTGTGAGCAGACAACAGGCTTTTTTTTGGAGGGAGAGGAGAGGAGAGAACAGTAGGATGATAGGAGTGTGTTCACTGTCACTCAGCATTAGTGTGTATCTTTGGACACGGAGCTTCATTATAGTGGAGAGCAGACTGGCGTCAGGCCCAGTGAACTAACACACTCCCTGCTCCCTCTAATTAACTTCCCTCACTGGGCTAATGTGAACACCCTTCAAAACAATAACAGCATCAATGAATGCATTATTGATGGCTGTAGATACTACTATTGTCACTCACAGTTGGACAGACAACGAATAACATGCACAAGAATCTGATTTGCTCTATTTAATTAAAGACAACTGACAGTAACTACAGGACACAGTGGAAATCATCACTACAACAACTATAATTTCCTAGACAGACAGCAGACACTACTCATTACCAGAAGGACCATACAAACCTGTTTTTGTCACACCTTTTCAGCCAACTACTGACTACAACCAAAGCTACACAACTAGGTCTACGGGCCGACCGCACTTACATGGCTGGAAAGCAGAGAGGACCCCAGGCGGACCGAGGTGACATCGCTGCATGAGCAGCTCTGAGTCAGTTTCTCTGTCAGTGTGTCTCTGAACACACCCAGTAAGGACCAGCGCTGTTTGGACATCATGCTCCGTGGAGCTGTCTGCACGCAGTCAGCAGGAGAGCATGAGAGTTTTGAGCGGGCTAACGCTACATAACTTTTGAACTATGGTAATCTGTCCTAGCAAGTTATGAGCTTTTCAGACTTCCATTTTCATCTAATTCAGCAGAGCTGACCTGAAATGGAGCCATTATATGTTACCATGACCTTGAGAGATTAAGATGCTTCTGAGAAATGACTACTATTAAATCTATGTGGAGCCTATTGTGCTAATTTAAATATTAAGAGGGTCTGGAGAACTGCGAGATCTCCATTAGGACAAAGGAGAGAGAGATCTGTGGTATATTGACATTATGGTGGTGTGCACTTAGCAGCAATGTCTGGCTTGAATCAATTCATATTAAATGCATCATTCTTGAACATTTCAAAAGCAAAGCACATGAGTTATGAAAGCAGATATAGTCTAAGGACATTAAATGTCTGGGATTCAAAATAAACCTTGAAAGGGTTAAATATTACAGGTCAGAAAAATATAAAAACAATATGCTCTTTGGATCATTTTCAGATCATGCTGGAGAAAATCATCACCAGGTCTGCAACAAACTTGAGAAGTTCATGCAGCTAGTTTGCTGCTGTTTTTTTTTTTTTTTAATACTTTAAACAAT